GTCGGGTAACACTAATTCTGTTGGCAAATCGAAAAATCAGGGAAGCGATTCAGAGAATGAAGGACAAATTTATGCTGTTCAAGATGAGAAAATGAAAGTTTGGAAGAAAGAGCTACAGCAGAGACTATTTCTCTTGCACCAGAGAAGGAAGGAATCTTCTAGTGCGCTGCCGAAAAGAAATACGAGCGTACAGTTGTACGCCTCGTTGGAAGAAAACGCCGTGGAAGATGGAAGTAAAGAACCGTTGATACAAAAGAATTGCATTGCTTCTGCAGCTGCAGAGGCAACAAAACGGGACTTCGATTCATTTACTCATTCATTGCATAAGAAACAGAAAACAGGGGCTCACATGGAACCCAGTACAGTAGTCAAATTCATTCCAGGACTACCGAAAACCATAGAAGAAGTAGTTGAGCTGTGGCGAAGGGGAGACAAAAATCTCGACTGTCAACCACTGAGAAAGTTTACAGACTCAGAGATGCGAAAGAAAATGGTTCCCAACTATAGCCATCAGATGTGGACCCTTTCTGGACAGAAGAATAGCTTCTTGCGAATCAAGGCTTTATTGGAACGAGTACAGGAATTTGGCCCTGTACGAATGGGTCTGATGGATATCGGAAGTGACAATGACTGGGAACAAGCCGTTCAAGGATTTCATGCCGCGTATGACAAAGATGGGAGGCCCCAGGCGCTATCGCGTGTACTGCGTCAAAAAGATTAATAAAAAATATGAAAACCGTCTTACTGTAAAGGGAGGCCAGTCTCTCACCTCATCCATCTTATCAGAAATTGATGTCGTGGTACAGAGTGCTGTGATAGTTTCTGTTGTATGGTGAGACACACGACAGAATGTTCAGATTTATCATGAGTGTAGAAATACAAACACTGTCACGGAGGTATCCAGAGAAGATGTTATCTCGTTATTGCAGTTGAAGCTAAAAATAGACTGAACTACGTACAAGTTGACTGCATAAATATGAACTCTTTTTCATAAAACATTCCCATGGCAAGGCATATCCGTCCTGATGGTTTAGACCTAAAATGTATTGGAAGAACGTCTAACCAAACAAGATTTTTGTGGCATGGAACATTGCGACCTGATTTTACTTCTCAGCAGTTACGTGTTCACTTGTTTGACTTTGCGGACCACAGTTGAAATTCTCTGCAGAGTTCTGCTCTACTAAAAATAGCCTGACATTCCTGTAGAAGTTCGTAATTTATACGTCTAAATAGGAATGGACCCAGTTTCTGAACGGTCTTTTCATTAAAGAATCACCCGGCTTCCAGTCAAAACTTTTACTAAACTCACATCAGAGAATTTGATCTAGCAGTTGTCGTGAAATGCAGTAGAAATGTGCTGGCAGTGATATTGTATACATCTCATAGAACTGCTGCATATTTTACTTGGGCGCAAGTACGTCTATTTACGAGATTCTGTGGTGTCATGCAGACAACGCGTTGGGTATATTATTTTAAATCACTCAATCAGCATTTGCTAAGATGTTCATCATGATGTAGAACGTAGAACGTACCTGCTCTTGATAGGATAATCTGACCCCATGACCAACTATATTTAAAGACGTACAATTAAAAGATTTGGTGTTCGTTTCAACTACAAATCGTGGCTGCCACGGTGCCAGAAAACTAGTTCGCTATTTTCAGAAACACAAATTTACACTCTCTTAGACAGAAGCTTATTTGGAATTATTCGGTAAACGTTGAATTATTTGGTAAACGTTGGATTATTCGGTAAACGTTTCTGCTGGGTTCTGATGTACCACATAGAACGGCTTTGTTGGACGCTGAGATATTGAAATATGTGCCTCCAAATCTCCCTAGATTTGCAGGGTCACACTATACTCTTTCCGTTGTCCTTCCTCTCTCTTCTGCTATATATATCGTCGATTTCAGGTCTCCACAACTGAAAGTCTATTGTGTATCTTTATGCACCATAGTTGAGATACTTGGCAGAAATCTTACATTCTAAAAATAGTTCGATATGCTTGGAAGAATTCGCACGCCACATCTTTAAAACAGGTATACACTCTGTTTTTCAAACACCGTTTCTAGTCAGATTTTCTGGATTGTCATTTATTTCTTGACTCAATGAAAATCAGAGAAAATCTCGTCATGAAGGCCGTCGCGAGCCGCAGTAAATGTTTTCAAACGTTTCGTGTACGCTTCATTAGACTGCTACGTATATGCTCAAGCGCATATGTGTTTCTATTCTACGTTTGCATCAATCTAGTATTCTGTTTTTAAAATAGCAACTAGTCTAACACAGCAATAGGAAATCTCTGCCTCCAACAACTCTTTAAATAGTGAACGGGTACAGGCGAACTATCAGATTTGAGACAAGCGCACCAACCTTTCGCATCCTTCGTTTCTCCAAAATTCGCACGAGCAGTCCTTGTTGTTCGAACATGAGCGCCGTTGGTCATCCGCATTTGTGCATCATCTGCCAATGCCCGCCTGATGGAGACGTGGTCGAGTTACAATGCAGACACGTCTTTCATAAAGACTGCATTGCTCCCTGTCTTCTATCTAACACTTCTACATGTCCAGTGGTGGAAATCTTTGATGATGGCAGTACGTTTGATCATCCTGTAAACCGCCAAGCAGGACACTGTCCCCTTTGCCGTACAAGAATTCAAGAAAACAAAATGAAGCACTTTTCAGGGTACGTTTTTCAAAAGAGTCGAAAAACTGAGAAGGAGTGGGATTCAATCCCGGAATCCCAGCGGTCCAAGATTCAAAAGAAGAACAAGAAACGCATGGGAAGGAGGTTGAAGAAGGCAAGGATGAACTCAGGCCCTCAAGGGGGTTCCGGTAGTGGTGCTGGTCCCTCTGCTTAGTTAAATAAATTGATAAATGTTACTCAAACGGCTTTTATTTCACAGTGCCCGGTTTTATTCCTCCTACATTTTGCATCTTTAACTTCATATATATATTTTAACGATGAGTTGTACTTCACTGATGAGTACCAAACAAGTCGTGGAATACTATTTTAAGCATGATGAAAGAGTTGGCCAGTAGCTTAGCACCTGATGCTTCCAGTCAAGGTTCAAAGTTTTTATGAAGGTTGGTTTTTGAAAATGAATCGGAAAGATGTCTGCGTAACCCATTTTGAATGATATACTGTCTTGTTGGAAATATATATACGCATATAAATGTCAGATTCTAAGTCCTTTAACCAACTAAAAATAGTCTTGCCATTCTTCGGTATTCAATGTGACCAAATACAATGCAAATGACTGTATTCCTTTAGTTTTATGTACTGCTATAATACTGCAAATGTAGGAATTGGAAATGATGTGGAATAAAATGGCTCTTCCACTTCTTACAGGCACGTGTGCAAGACGGATGAGCACTTGAATGTGCATTTTAAAGAATTATTGCATTGGAAAATCATAACCATTTTAGTACTGACGCAAACGCTTTTTATGTAGCCGTCATTTTTGAGGTCCAGATATTTTATACAGCAGATAGCATTTTAGAGACTAATTCAGGCGGGGTTTCAAGTTTTAATTGGTTTTAATCGATTGTCGCCCCAATTTATGATTTAGAGAGGACTTGACTGCAGGTAGAGAAGATCCTTGACAGCAGGCAGAGCCCAGCTGTGAACGATTTCCGCTTCGATGGCTGAAGTCGAGGGAGGCGTAGCCCATCCTTGACCCCGTAGTAGATCCTCGACAGCAGGCGTAGCTCAGCTGTCGAGGACGTCGCTTCGCACGCTGAAGTCGAGGCGGGCTTAGCCCATCCCCGACCCTGTAGTAGATCCTCGACAGCAGGCGTAGCCCAGCTTTCGAGGACGTCGCATCGCACGCTGAAGTCGAGGCGGGCGTAGCCCATCCTCGACCCCGTAGTAGATCCTCGACAGCAGGCGTAGCCCAGCTGTCGAGGATCGTCGCTTCGCTCGCTGAAGTCGAGGCGGGCGTAGCCCGTCCTCGACCCCGTAGTAGACCCCCGACAGCAGGCGCAGCCCAGCTGTCGAGGATCGCCGCGTCGCATCGCTCGCTCGTCGTCGTCGATGAGGGGAAATAAAATCGTGCGCAATCGTGGAGATCATGTGAGGGGTAGGGTGTGTGAGGGCAGTCAGGGGGTGCGCGATTTATAATACTGTGCAGTGACAATGTAGATTTAATTTGCCGACGGCGGCGTCGGCGGCGGCGGCGACAGATGTGGTTTAGGGTACGAGGGATTGGATTTTATATCTAATTTGGCGATAGTGGCGGCGGCGCCGACGGCGACGACCGATTTGAATACAGTACGATTGGATCATTTGCCGTAGAAAAATTTTCAGATGTTTAAAATTGTAGTATGGAAAGGCGTGACATTTATTTTGGGGTTGTATGTCAGCCTACGTCAGTGAGAACGAGGCCGTTACAAAAATGAACCGTCAGGGAGGTTCATTTCTGGATGTAATATATCATTAAGTGTACTGGTGTATGGGGGTCATGTCACGCGTGCTGCGCATCATTTATGACGCAGCCAACTTCGCCTACATGCAGAAGGATGATCTCTCGACTAAGTACGTAGTCTTGAGACCTCAAGACTACCACTTTCCTGAGCACTCTAGTGTCTATCAACCTAGCGTTATCATAACCTAATAGTCTGCGAATTTTGTTTCTTTTCAATTTTGATGTCATCCACCGTTTCAATTTTTCTTTTGGGAGGTTTCAGCCACCAAATTTTGCCAAAACAGATCGGGGTGTTCAAAGCTCACTATTTGAATTTTGAATTTTCACTTTTTGATCATCATGTTGAGCCGGTGGTGCCAAAGCACGAAGTCGGCACCTTGGCTACTCCTGCCCCGGCCGCCCAGACTCTGTTGAATGTTGCATGGCTGGAGGCAGCGTCATAAAAGCTGGTCCCGGTTGGGGCAACCGCTGCGGCAGCCCGGACGCAGACCACGAGCTGCTCACCGCGGCCGTCTGCGATGCAAAGTTGTCAGTCGGGGCCGCCGATGATAAAGTCGACGCCTGTCCTTGCAACCGCGGATGCACATCCCCACGCCACAGCTCTTCGGCCGGAGCCATCGTGCCAGGCGCGGAGTCTGGCAGCGCACTCGCTGCTTCTATCTCCGTCACCACTTGCGTGCAACCACACACGTTTGTAAAGGAGTCAAAGCCCTGCACTGGGACATCTCCATCTCGCCCGATGAAGCCTTCATGCGCAGCACCAGCGCCGCAGCGCCATTTGCGCAAGGGCAGTTCCATCGCCTCTCCGCGATTCGAGTTTTCTTCCAGAGGGTTGGAAGTCGTGTCGTGCCCCAGTGCTTCCTTGATGATATGGAAGCCCATGTCGAAAGCGTTTCCTCGCCTGGATGTGTAAATGCTAACGAGTACGTTGATGATACCCCACAAGACGAGCATGAGGGCGAGCGGGAGGATATTGACGATCGGGCGACTTACAACATCGTCAATTGGACATGCCGCCGTTTCACGCACTTCGTCGGTGAGGGGATTCAACTCCAACCGATTGTCCATTTCGCCACGACGAAGCTTGTTCAAAGTCAGTGAGCCTGTGACATACGCTTGGACCCTTGCTATGAGACTGAGGGGATCAAAATCGCAATCCAATATCTGCGCTTACGCTATAAGGCTGTTGTCCTCTGACGGTAACTTGTCAGAAGTACCTTTGGCTGTGCACTGCTGTACTGTCTCTGAACGGAGTGCGTTGGCAATGACTTGGAGATGATCATCAGAGTCGATCTTTTCAACATTTGTGAAGAGGAGCGATTTGTCATTGTCTCTTTGCCGTCTGTTCTTGACCCACTGGATGTAGAAGGCACTCGCTGCAGTGTTGTTCTTACTCACCAATGCGGTCCATAGTTGACCCGACTCTGTGGTGATTGTAACTATTCCGCCTTCGCCTTCTGATACAGGGACGTTAGATCCAAAGTCCACCAAGCAAGAGCAGTACGACACACGAGATCTGACTTCGCCTAGTGTAGTTGTCAGCGGAATGTCGGCGCAAACCCTATTTAAATCCGGAGCTGGCTTTCGAACGTTAGGGTCCATGTGGATTCGAAAGTCGCCCTTCTCACACCCACTCAGACGCTTTTCACTCGGGATGGAGATGGCAACAGAGGTGATGGCAGTAACCAAAATGAAGAGCCTCGCCAGAAGGGGGAGGAGAAGCCTGCGGAGTTGGATTTCGTTCCTGTAACGTGTGCAGCCCTTCTCCTTGTATGAGTACCTGTGCCAAATCCAGGAGAAAATGCGGATGGGGTCGTCGCTGTTGACAAAGATAAAGGAACGGACCCAGGAGAGGTACTCGAAGCTTTTTTCGCGGGAGCTAAAGATGAGCTTGGAAGTGACTGACAGGATGTTGGAGATAACGAAAACAGTGAGCAGTGATATGATGAGGGCGTTGATGATGTCGCTGGACGTTTGGACTGTAGAAAAGCTAAAGTCGGGCGTGGCATTCAACTCCTGGAGGAGAGTCATAGCTGCGAGACGGAGAGGCGAACGAGAAGGATGGATTAAAACCTGGGGAGGAGGACGTGGATGGTTAAAAAGTGTTGTCTTTATGTTCGAAACAGAGGGCGGTTGGAAATGTGAAGCAAGGAAGTGCGGTTTGTTGGAGAGATATGGACAGCTTGCCCGGGGGCATGAGACGGGATACACCTCTTACGGGCGCGGTGTGGGAGAGCGGTGTTCTTACTGCTGGTGTGCATTAACTCTGAGACAGCTCGCTAGCATAGAGTCTGAACACGGCAACAATGCGCCGCTCTCATGTACAGTAGTCGCGTAGTCGCGGATGTGTACAGTATCATTATGACGGCCGTCGGCCAAGCAAGAGGACTCGAGATCTCTTCGGAATGCGCAGCATGGACGTCTGGGCACTCGAGATCTCTTTTGAATGTCCAGAATGGACGCCTGGGCGTATTTACAGTGCGCCGCCATGCGTGTACGATAGTACCACATGTTCGACGTCCTCGTTGCCGCCGCCGATTGTGCCAACGTGCACATCTCTTGATCCCATCAAAGGTTCCGTTTCCGATACTCAGCCTCTCTTTTTCGGCCACACTAAAACACAGACATGCACGTGTCCGCCGCGCCATCTCGTCGCTTCACAAATGGGTTTCCGCTGCAACGCTTTGGTCACCTGAATAGAGCAACCAAGCACTCGGGGAGTTTAGAACTTGCGACACTTTTAAGACTAGGATTGGCCCAGAGAAAACGTCTCACAAGGCCATGAATTCGTTCCAGTCCTAGCACAACTCTGTGCTGTAGGACTTGATGCACACAGCGACAACAGTGAATGTACAGTTCGTTCGTGGTACAGGGTATCATTTTAAGGGGGCTGCAGCGACAAGGGTAGCGAGACAATCATCAAAAAAACGACTTCTGCTCCCGGTACAGTATCCAAACATTAGTAGTCAAAAGCCCCACACGTCATCCAAACCAACCGCCCGAAGAAGTTGGAACTACAACCTTAGACACAATAAATCACGCTTCTTCGTTATATATCTCCTAGGGCAAAAGCCATCTCGCTCCCTCATGAAAGCAAAATCAATCGATGGCCACATCGCTAGGGAACTGCCGTACAGCGGTGTGATAACGTCGTAACTTAAAGAACGCAGAAGGTTGAAGGTATCATTGGAAACCTTGGTTATCGCAACAGGCGTCGATAAAATCACGGTCTCGCACCTCGCTTTCTTTGGAGTTGATGGAGCAGCAATGATTTGCGACAAATCTGAAAGGATCTTTATACAGTTCCTATTGCGCTAAGAGCATCGCCACCGCCGCGGTTCTATAGCGGGATAGAACTGAAACGTGTAAGCTTACAATTCGCCGGTTGTTCCAATAGATTTATGTGACGTGTAGTCACGCTTATTCTAACCGCGTCAACCCCAACGCCAGTTTGCGTTTCTATTGCAGCAGATTCACATTGCCAACGCGCGCGGCGTCGCCCGCCGCCTGCCGCCTGCCTTGAGACTTTTGTCTGACTATCCTTCCCCTGCTCACCGCTCTCCGAAGCTTGGTCCACGATCCTCTCTGGTCTTCCCCCAAACCCCCTCTCCACGAACTGCACAAACTCTTTCCCCAAACACAGCATCTCCAATCAGCGTCCCCCGTACAACACCTCCCTCATCCCCACACGCATCCCCTCTACCCTCGCGACTTTCACCGCCTGGCTGTCTGAGCACGGCATAGACGTACTGCCCGGGAGAGGCACCGTGTTGTGTCTGCCACCTGGTGTCCGCCGATCTCCGCTCGCAGTTGTGGCGCAGGGTGCGCCCGCGCCGACTAGAAGGCGAGGTGTCTGGCGCGGCTTCCAGCCGCTAGCTTGACTGAGTGACAGACATGGACCCGCGCAAAAGCTCTCCCGACCGTTCTGCAGTCGCCTTTCCGCCAAGAGGAACTGAAGTTTGCGGGAAAACATTGGAAAGGCGGCGGACACGCCGTCCGCGTGGCGTTCTATAGGGAATTCTATCCGAGCTATATATATATACTGTAGATCGTTTTCAGATCTACAGTATAGGAGCGGGCATAGAATCAGAAATCGTCCAATACGATCTTGGAAATGCACAGAATTTCGCGTTGGTGTTCCAAAATTGATTCTATGCAACGCAGAATTGCGCGTTGGAAATGCTCTTACACTTTCAACGTGGGGAGATTTGGTCTGTTGTCGGTGGCGTCGTCTGGTTGGTGTACATACTGGGATCAAAGGAGGTGCGGCAGCGGCGCAACACGGAGGTGTGGGGGAGTTTACGTGATGCGTGGTAGAGTCAGGAGAACTGTATCGCTGCATAAACTTTAAATGTTATTGCAGGTTGGCTTGACCTCACTCCGGCTTGATCTCACATTGGCTTGATCTCAGGACCGTTACTACTGCAGCAGGGACGAGCACCGAGGTCGTTACTCCAAACAACAGGACCCATTTCCACGCGCCTGTGCCGACGACACTAATTTGCGACATCCACCTCTGGTCTCCATCCGTACGCTCTGCCGGCGTAGCCTCTCTCTCGAGTACTCTGTGAGTACTCTGGAAACACGTAGCACCTCCAGCTTCGCGCGCCACCACTGCACACGCCGTTGACGCCACAACCGCCACTCTTTATTTCCACAGCAATTGCACCACCACTTGAATTTGCACGCCTACGCAGTAGCGTATACTCCACTCACTTCGACAGCGATAACAGTTCGGTAACTATTTTGGCAAATATAAACTATTTTGGCAACGCACTGCTTCCCCTTTTTGCCGCACTTGTCCGAAACCGAGTCACCCAGATCCGCCTCCGCCACTTGCTAACCTTGGTAGCTCTGTGACTGATTATAACCTGCGCGCCTTTTCTGTTTTTACCGCCATTCGAAAGCCCATTACTTTCGCTTGTTCGCCAAAAATTCCAGGCTGTGGCGTGCAATTACAACGTAATATGCTTTTCCATATCGATCGATAGCCGCCCATCATCGCCATTCCGGAAAAGTGCGGCAAAAAAGGGAAGCAGTGCGTTGCCAAAATAGTTTATGTTTGCCAAAATAGTTAACGGACATTATTTGACTGTTAGAATAAAGAGTTTTTTTCGGGCCACGGCCATTACTTGAGGTTGCCAAATTAGTTTCCATGCGATTCAGACCTGTAAAAGGGGTTCATTTAAGTGACTTCATTCCCTTGAATGAACACATGATGTGATTTCGTTACAGTTGTAAAGCTACAGTACTGTATATGCGCGCTTTATGTGTTTATTGAGCTTTAAAAAGTCAAAATCGGTGAAGGACTGGGTAGGATACGGCCTTTTCACCAGACATGCCTAGAAAAAAACCGTCACTTGCCACATTTTATCATGAACTCTTATGCCTGGCGCCTGGAGCAGGAGGGACACGTTCGAATCTGTGATTCAGATTTGGGCATTACAGAACGTTTTGATAGGAACATGAGGCAACTGAATTAGGATATCTGTAATTCTTTTTGCAAATTCACGCCTACGGATCGCACCGAGTCGGTGCGATCCGTAGGCGTGAATTTGTAGCTGTCGGTGCCACCGACAGCTTCCACTGCCGGACCCCTGCCGGCCGCCTGCCTGGAACCCCCCCCTGTCCTCGTCCGGCCTGTCTTGCTGGAGTTGGCACCAACGCTTCTGAATCCGGGGACATTCCGCCACCAAGTGCGTGCGGGCAATCATTGCTCGGCCGTCCCTGTATTATTGGGGTCTCTCGGCGACCTGCGCCGTCTCTGCCGGGTTGGCGGCACTGAATGGCTTGAGACAGTCGCGCGTCACTTTGCATGTGGGCGAGCTTTCTATCTTGTCCATCAAAGCTCGCAGACCGGTTCTCGCCGCGACGGTGTCCAACAAGTCCAGCTGCCCACTCGGCGCATGACTCGACTTGGGGGGGACCTTCAGGCGGGGTACGTGCCCACCGCGAGGGTACTGTAAACTTTACTCGTATCGTCCTACGGCTTTCGTTGCAGTACTGTACTGTACTGTACTGTACTGTATTACCGATGGACTGGACAAGCCCCTGGAGTACAGCACTGTATCATACGCCTCCCTGGAGTCCCTTGCAGCTCTCGTTGCTGGCGTAGAATTCTTGTCAGTGCGTCGCGAGAGCAGCCTTACTAAACTCACGATGTGCCAACACCGCAGCAACAATCCGCACAACCGCCGCCCTGTTTTTTCAGCGTAGGAAATCACTCAAAATCACTGTCAAGCGGGCACCTACCGTAAAATAGCTGTGGGCCATTGGATGTCCTGCATTTATTCGAATGCGAAGGGTGGAAGCAAACCTTTCCCGCCCTCTCTGCGAGAAGACCAAGAACGAAAAACGACTACCCTTGGGTAACGACTGACAACGACAAGAGAGAAAAAAGAGATTCCGAGAGGGAGAGATATAGAGAAGAGCAAGCGCCGCTTTGCTACCGCCGCCTATTCAAATCCGAACAACACCCCCTATTCGCAAACACCATGGCTGATCCATACAGTATCTTGGGCCTCACCGGCCCGGCTGAGCAAGTCGTCCGCCTCATCGCAAGTCTCATCGAACGACACAAAGCCTACAAGGAAAACAAAACGCTGTCTACGGAAGTGCTCACTGCCTACACTACCTTGCAGGCAGACATCACGGAGCTTGAAAACATGCCGATCCATGGAACGTCGTCGCAGCACACGGGCTTGCTCCAACGTGAAATCACGGACATCTCAAGCTTCATATTGAAGTCCCTCGCTGAGCTGCAGAAAGAATTGGATGACCCAAAAGCGAGACTCGGTGCGTACGCCTCTGCGATGGGAGATAGAGAAGTCCTAGAGAAGCGCAAGCAAGAAGCGGACCGCCTTCACAAACGTATTGTACAAGCAAGCACGGGCATCGATACTCGCGCGGCCGTCGAGTCGATCAGACGAGGCACGGGTAATATGTTCAGGGCGTCGATAAGAGCCGAACATAATCCTGCGTCGATATGTGTGAAGCTTGATTCTCGGGGGAGCGATGGATTACCAAACACGTGTGAGTCGCGTCTAAAAGCGGCTGTGCTACGGAGAGATAGGAACAAGCAAGTGGGTGCGACAGCAGTGGGACAGGGCGGAGTCGGGAAGACATGTGCTCTACGAGCGATCGCGCACGACGTTGAGATTATGGCAGAGTTCTCGGGAGGAGTGTACTTCATGTTGTTGGGGAAAGATGGAAACGTGGGACGGCTGATTGAAGAACTGTGTCTGATTGTGGAAGCGTCCGGTGGGAACCAGACGGCTGTGGAAATGCGAGAGCAGAGCGAGTTTGAAAGGGTGTTAGCGAAGGTACAAGCGTGGTTTTGTAGTCATGTGTGCCTGTTCATCATTGATGATGTGTGGGTGGTGAATGATATAGACGCGAATATCCTTCAAAAGTTGTCTGTTCTGGCTGAGACTGCGGGGGGCAGCGGGGGAAGGAGGAGCAGACTACTGTACTCCACGAGGGATAAGGAGCTGCGTCAGATTGGGGAGCGGGTTGCTTTCGAGCCGAGGGAGAAGGTAGGGAAAGAAGCAGTTGAGATGCTTGTGCACGCGAGTGAGGCAAATGGAAAGGAAGTGGATGATGCGAGATGCAAGGAAGCCGTGGGTGAAATACTGAAAATGTGTGGCGGATTGCCGCTTGCGCTGAACGTGGCGGGAACGAGCGTGAGGTACATGAGGGAAAGATGGGAGGGAGAAGTAACAGAAGCATGGGGGGCGTACCTTTCGAGGATGAAGAGTCGTAACACGATTCGCGGGGAGAGTCCGAAGGACGGATATTCGTCGTTGGATGGGACATTGCATACGTCTCTAGATATCCTGGAGGCCGATGTGGGAAGGAGTGGGGAGACAGTTGGTGAATTTTCGTTTCGAAAAATGCACCGGAGTCTGTGCGTTATGAAGAAGCAAGACCGGATACCTTTGAGCTTGGTTGGAGATTTGTGGGAGATGGACGAGGAGCGGACGGAAAGGTGTGCAAAGGAGATGGAAAGGGTTGGACTAGTAGAAGTGCAGTATGAGAAGGATTGTGGTGGGTTGCGGGTGCATGATCTGACGCACGATTTCGCGGTGGAAGAAGCGAAGAAGAAGGAGGGTGTAGAAGAGTGGTATAAGAAGATGGCGGATGTGTGCAGGGCAGGAGAAGGGTTGCTTGCGATGAGTGAGGACCGAGACGGAGAGGGGAAGAGCGCACGGGAGGAGTATGTTTTCGAGAATATATATCGTGTCTTGCAACAGGGTGGGTGTGTAGAGGATCTGAAGAGGCTATTTTTGAGTGCGCGATGGGTGAAGACAGTGATGCGGAGAGGCGGGGTTTGGCAATACGAGAAAGCTGTGAAGGGATTGAGTAGAGACTTGAAGGGGAAAAGAGGAAGCGGGAAGGTGGGAATGGGACGGGCAGATGAGGATGCAGTGGATGGAATGGTTTTGATGATGCGGGCGGCGCGACTGAGTGTACCGTTTTGTGGTGAAAACAGTGCCGGGATTTACTTTCAACTATATGGGCGAGTGAAGCACAAGGCACGGGATTCAAGTTGTGTGCGAAAAATGCTGGAGGAAATTGAGAGATACGCACCACGGCCGTGGGTGCGGCCTGTGAGTGAGTGTGTAGCGCGAGCCGATGGAAAGATGGTGGAGCAGATTGTTCTGCCATATTTCAGTACTGAAATTCAAGTGGGCATGGATTCCAGTGGTGAAGTGTATGGATGTCAGGTGGAGGGGGAAGGGGCAAAAGTAACAGTTTTCACGCAATCTGCTGAGAAGGAGACGAAGATGGTTGAATTAGAAGGCGAGTTCGAAACGGAGAGCCAGGGCCCAGGGGCCAATGACCCAAGCAGTCAATTAGAAGGCGAGTTCGAAACGGAGAGCCAGAGCCAGGGCCCAGGGGATCTTGAAGCAAGCAGGCGCAAAATGTGTCGACGTTTGAGGGCATATTTTGGAATGTGCTTTGGAAGGGTAACCTCCGAAGTGACTGCAGAAAACCCGAGCGTGACTGCAGAAAACCCGAGAGTGACAAGCGCCATCTGCGCAACTCTCTGTGAGAGGAAGGAGAATGTTGTTGTGGGATATGAAGACGGGACGTTAAGGCTGTGGAGTACGTCGGAGAGGAAAGTATTGAGAATTTTCCGCGGTCACAAGTCGGAAGTGACTTGTGTTGCGATGAGTGGGGACGGAAGACGTGTGGTATCTGGATCGGGGGACATGAGCGTGCGGGTGTGGGACGTGGAGACGGGAGCACAAGTCGGGGAGGCGTTAGTTGGACACACGGAATCGGTGTGTAGCGTTGCGATGAGTGGGGACGGAAGACGTGTGGTATCTGGATCGAATGACAAGAGCGTGCGGGTGTGGGACGTGGAGACGGGAGCACAAGTCGGGGAGGCGTTAGTTGGACACACGGATGGGGTGGATAGCGTTGCGATGAGTGGGGACGGAAGACGTGTGGTATCTGGATCGAATGACAAGAGCGTGCGGGTGTGGGACGTGGAGACGGGAGCACAAGTCGGGGAGGCGTTAGTTGGACACACGGATGGGGTGGATAGCGTTGCGATGAGTGGGGACGGAAGACGTGTGGTATCTGGATCGTTTGACAAGAGCGTGCGAGTGTGGGACGTGGAGACGGGAGCACAAGTCGGGGAGGCGTTAGTTGGACACACGCGTCCGGTGCTTAGCGTTGCGATGAGTGGGGACGGAAGACGTGTGGTATCTGGATCGAATGACAAGAGCGTGCGGGTGTGGGACGTGGAGACGGGAGCACAAGTCGGGGAGGCGTTAGTTGGACACACGGATAAGGTGTGGAGCGTTGCGATGAGTGGGGACGGAAGACGTGTGGTATCTGGATCGGATGACAAGAGCGTGCGGGTGTGGGACGTGGAGACGGGAGCACAAGTCGGGGAGGCGTTAGTTGGACACACGGCTGGGGTGTGGAGCGTTGCGATGAGTGGGGACGGAAGACGTGTGGTATCTGGATCGAATGACAAGAGCGTGCGGGTGTGGGACGTGGAGACGGGAGCACAAGTCGGGGAGGCGTTAGTTGGACACACGGATTTTGTGTGGAGCGTTGCGATGAGTGGGGACGGAAGACGTGTGGTATCTGGATCCCGGGACAAGAGCGTGCGGGTGTGGGACGTGGAGACGGGAGCACAAGTCGGGGAGGCGTTAGTTGGACACACGCATTCGGTGGGTAGCGTTGCGATGAGTGGGGACGGAAGACGTGTGGTATCTGGATCGTGGGACAGGAGCGTGCGGGTGTGGGACGTGGAGACGGGAGCACAAGTCGGGGAGGCGTTAGTTGGACACACGCATTTGGTGTGGAGCGTTGCGATGAGTGGGGACGGAAGACGTGTGGTATCTGGATCGTATGACGGGAGCGTGCGGGTGTGGGACGTGGAGAGAGGGATCACACTTCATACCGGGTGGGAAGAGGATTGGGAAGAAATCACGGCTCGGTTCCTGAAGACGGCAGACTTTGGTACTGCTTCCCGCGCAGGACGAACATCACAAATATTTGCAAGGGAGGGAAGAATTGTGCAAAGGCGAGAGGATGGGTCTGAGGCTGTCTTGGCCCAGTTGGAGAGTTACGTAGATTACGTATACCTGCAAGAAGCAAACTTGCAGGTAGACCACGATCACGGGGTCGCAGTTGCAGGGGCGGGCCATCTGGTTGCTATCATGAAGCTAGTGGTGTAAGCTAGTGGTGTAAGTAAGTACCGAAGTGCGATGGCCGCTTGCCGCCCGTGACAGTCGTAGTGCGTTGAGGGTTTTATGCTTTGTTTTTGATTTGTGAATGCGTGAGAAGCTCGCCTCACGGACGTTGCAATCCATTTATGTGTCCATGTATGTGTATGTATGAACTAGCGACCTGCTTCCGTTCATCGTGCGCTCTTGTGCTCAATTTAATATCTTGTGCAATGCAATGATGTGCAGGCAGCTGGCCATTAGTTGCAGGCGAGTGAAGATATAAAGGTATTCGTGAATGAACGGTGTGTTGAGAAGCGTTGCAGACCGGGTCAAAGCGGGGGCCAATCTCACTTTGAAGAGGCGATGGGTACACGTGCACAGGTGTCCACGTGCACAGGTGCACAGGTTTCCACGTGCACAGGTCCACACGTGTGAGGAGACAAGTGGCAAACGAGGCCAACTTTTTAAACGAGGCCAACTTTTTTCCTCAATTTTACCATAATTTTCAATTTTACTAAACATTTGGGCCTCTCCCTTTACGGAGCGTCAGCGTCGTCACTCAGTGGGAAGGGGATGCTCGCCCGCAGATCGCGGTGCGGCGCGCCGCGGCCCCGACGTTTGTGCACACCGCCCGGGCGCGCGCAAGCAAGCCGGGTCGCGGCGGGGAAGCGTCCGCCACGCGACTAGAACGCGGCGGGGTCTCGAGCGCTGTCCATACGTGCGGCGGCGACGGGCGCGCGCGCGCGCAAGGGAGAGCGGGGGAAGGGGGAGGGAAGCACAGCGCGTCGGGGTGAGGGCGCGCGCAACGGCGGCGGCGACGCTTATTCGGACGCACGCGCTTTGAAATGGATGCGCGCATTGCTGCGCACGAGCGGGAAGCAGGGCGGCATGGTGCTTGCGCTGCGAGTCGCGCGTGGTTTGAACGGGAAGCGTTTGCGGGCGGAGCTGTAGCCATGCTACGTGCGGCGTAGAAGACGCACGGCGGCGCGATTTGCGTTAACCCGCCGGCACGCGCCATCCGCCCGCACCTCAGCGACTGCGACCGGCCGCGCCCCGCGTGGGGCGCGGCGAAATAAGGACGTGGAGAGAGGGCGCAGTTACGCGCGGCGGACGGCGGACGGCGGCCCGGGTAAGCTAAAATGGGGCTTGAATCTGCAGCAGTCGCGCGGGGAGGCCTTGGCGCGCAACAGGTGGCCGTGCGCGCCCGTTTTGATCGCGCGCCCCCGCCGGGCGGCCGCGCACCCAGCGCGCCGTCTTCTTGTCTGGCGGCCGAGACGCTTGATGGGGGCGATGCCTTCCAGGCAGGCCGTCACTGTACTCGGCGGCGAAACGCACGGTAACGGGGCCATGCTCACCACCCGCAGCGACCCTCACTCCACGTTGAGGCTTGCAACACGTGGTCATTGTGGGCGAGGGAAGGAAGCTCACTTCTTCAGGCACAACCTCAGTGTCGTCGGAACATGGCGGAAGCAAGCGACGCTCGCACTTGATCGAGTACTCGGCGAAAGCCACAAATGTGCTGGAAGGGGATCTCATCGTTGCGGAATAGTAATTCAAATATGTTTTTTAGGTTTGCTGTCGCCCGAATGTTGCCACTCTTTGTTTCCACAGCAATTATTTCCACAGCAATTATTTCCACAGCAATTATTTCCACAGCAATTATTTCCACAGCAATTATTTCCACAGCAATTGCACCACTACTTGAATTTGCACGCCTACGCAGTACAGAAGCGTATACTCCACTCAGGGGCGTTCTAGGTGTTTTGGAAAGTAGAAAATTTGGAAATTTGGAAACTGGTCATACGCCACATATCCAATAAGCGCCTGCTACGTTGCCACGTGTGTTTCCACTTTTCCGTAATCTGTTTTCGTGTAGGGGAAATTCCGGATTTCCCCTACATGAAAACGGATGAAACGGCAATCGAAGTCCCGCCAAATAAGAGAGTCAACAATGCCCGTCCCCTCTCGTTCCCTTCCTCCCCAGTGCCGTTCCCGTCCCCCCCAGTCCCGTTCTCCTTTACTTTGCCAACCTCGCGCACATCGCACGCACTGTTCGCCTCTCTGTCGACCTGAAGTGGGCCAACCGTGACTCACGTCACTGACTCGCTCCTTCCACCCTCCCTCCCCCTCCCTCCCCCTCCCTCCCTCATCCCTCTCTGCCCCCCACCCTCTGCCCCCGCCCTACCATGCCGCGCCCCGTGCCGGAGGACTGGCGCCGCGCGTTGAGCTCGCTGAACAAGCACTCGATCCAGTCGGCGCTCTTCGACGCGACGGCGCGTTCGTCCGAATGGTTCTCGTTGGCGGTCGGGCGCTGGTTGCTGTCGCGCCGCTGCTCCTCGCACACGGCGTCGGAGCACAAGGTCCGCCTGTGCAAGCGCCCCACGTTTGCGCCTCCGCGCCCGTTCGAGGACGGCACCCCGGCCCTACACACCAACACTCCGTTCCTCATCGCCACGTCATCCGACCACCAGCGCGCGCTGTCCGCCACCGCCCTCGTCGCCGCCTACACCTCGGCCTCGGTCTCCGCCGCGCCGGCCGCGCCGCGCCTTCGCATCTTATGAAAAGATCTTCACCAAGAGATGCTATATGTGCATTGAGATTAAAGTTTTCTCGTGTGTTTGTAATCTCTTGTCGACGGAAAGCACAGCATCTCATGGTCGCTTGCACGACTGCAGACAGTAAAACTTGCATTGTCTCCCTGGTGGGCCTTCGCTTTTCGATCTTTGATAGTATGCGCATCGGGAAAGCCCACCGAGCCAGACGACGGCGAAAGGGAGCACGCATGGTACGTTAATCAAGCAGGGAACGACACTGTACGAGCACGCCTAGCCTATAACCTAATACTCCCCACGTGAGTGCGACATGATTGGATGTCCGTAAAAAGTTTCCAAAATGTTTTGGACCGGATCCAAGATGGAAATTGGAAATCGGTGCCCTGCTGTACAATTTCCGATTTCCAAATTTCCGACTTTTAAAAACACCTGGAACGCCCTTCACTTCGACAGCGGTAACAGTTCGGTAACTATTTTGGCAAATATAAACTATTTTGGCAACGCACTGCTTCCCCTTTTTGCCGCACTTTTCCGAAACCGAGTCACCCAGATCCACCCCCGCCACTTGCTAACCTTGGTAGCTCTGTGACTGATCACAACCTGCCCGCCTTTTCTGTTTTTACTGCCATTCGAAAGCCCATTACTTTCGCTTGTCCGCCAAAAATCCAGGCTGTGGCGTGCCATTACAACGTAATATGCTTTTCCATATCGATCGATAGCCGCCCATCATCGCCATTCCGGAAAAGTGCGGCAAAAAAGGGAAGCAGCGCGTTGCCAAAATAGTTTATGTTTGCCAAAATAGTTAACGGATACTATTTGACTGTTAGAATTGTCGTTCAACGCGGTTCGTAGGCTCGCGCGAAGCTGCACGTGAGCACAATTTATCGTGTGGCGGAGCCCGAGCGGGAAGGGTCGAAGACAGGAGGAGGAATAGGAAGGAGAGAGGGCGGGGGGCAGAAAGAAAAGCTAGGCGGAGCACCTTAGCGAGCGAAGACGACCAAGCCGATGGTTTACTTCTGACTTCTATTCTGTCCCTCTCTCTCTAATCATGCCTCACTTGCCGCTTATGTGGGGACGACGAGCGTGGCCGTCGAGTGCTCGACGGCGCGCTCAGTTCGATCCTAAATTCTGAATAAATTAAATAGCACGTGGCAAAAACTTACTCAAAATTAGGTCTACAGTACCGGTCAGCGGTGAACGGAAATCAGCATGCCGAGCGTATATCAACGACACTCCCTCCGATCGGACGCCTCGTCCACACCATCGACCCTCCGACTCCGGATCGCTGTGCTGCACGTGGCGAGGGGAACTTGACTCACCTTAGTGCTCAGGCAACATTGTTAATCCTGTGAACCAATGTGCGTGTAGTACAGTGTGAGGGCGAAGGTGGTAAGATAGTTACGCGCAGCAGTGTGAAGTTCGCAACAGCCGAAGCGAGTACGGCGAGATCCGAGCGAGGTTATTTCACGGGTCGTGCGCAGCGCATGAGTGCTGAGACCGGGGAGACGTTCAACATCGAGTCTATCGTGTGCGGCGATAGCGAAATGGCATCAAATGGCATGACGCCGCAGAGAAAAACGTGGTATGCGAGCGCACCTGTTGATGCCGGGGTCGAGTCGTACTACGAAATAAATTCTCAAACGATTATCTTGTCTACCCGCGGCGGTCGAAAGGGGGGAACTGGCGTACTCGCCCGATCACAGAGGCAGCCAGGAAGAAGACTCAGAGCCCTGTTCCTCGTGTCAGTATTCCAAGCAAGAAGCGCCATAATCACAGCTATGTTCGCAGGAGGCTCAAGAACGCCGCCTTCACATGGTTAGCGGAGAATCCTGGTTGCGCGATCTCCGTTGGCGGCCCTGGGCAGCGAGCTGAAATCCGCGGAGTACAGCAGTACCTCGTCATTGAGTACGGGGACGTTCTTATTAAGCAGAATGACGGTAACTGCATGACAGCCGCGATCACGAACGCCGTGGATATTGTTGCCGGACGTCAAGTCGCTAATGCGGTGAACGAATATTGTTTTGAGGAAAGCCCTCATTTTCTAAAGGTCCGTGAGGCGACTCTTCTTCTTCACGAACTGGCAACCGGAATCGAGATGCGCAAGATCCCGAAATGCGATGCAAAAGTGTTCAAAGAAAATCCTTTTGCGCACTTAGCGAGCCGTGACAGCGGGGTGTACATTGTGCACGTCTTTCAGCCTAACCTCGAATCTCATACACTTGTCGTCGATGCAGGCCGTACGCTTATCATCGACAGCGCAGAAGACTTTCCGATGCGGCTCAGCGAATGCCTCTTGCGTAAGTGCGGTGGCGAGGCAGCGACAGCCCTGCGCATTGGCAAAGTGCGCAAGGTAGTGTCCCAGCGCGATCGTTAAGCCCAAGTAAATGCATTTCCTGTCCTTTAGTTGTGGACGATCCATTGCTCAGGAGTCACATCAAGTCGTCCAGACAGCATCATGTTTTGCAACGACCTTTGCTGCATCGGCTTTGTCAATCCGTCCGCAATATTACTAGCACTGCGCACGAAGCCAATATCCGATATGACTTTGTCTCGGAAACCTTCCCTCTCCGCAGCTATGTCCAACATCATTCTCTTCTCGGAAGTCCTAGACCCTTTCGAAACGACATCGAAAAGACTCTTGCTGTCGGTGAGAAGCTGAACCGGGACCTTGACTCCTGTCAATGACTGGAGTTCAGCGGCGAGGACGGCAGCAACGTCGAATAGATCACTAAAGGCGATAACTTCCCCGGCCATGGCGGACTTGGTCACACGTCGCGACTTGTATGACTTAAAAGAGATAGGGACAACTGCTCCTGTGTCATCGCCGATGAAGCACACGTGACCAAGCTGTGTTGAGAGGTCTGCATTATTTTCAAATGAAGCTTCAGCGAAACCTATTACTCGGAGAGACTCTTGGTTTAGCTTTGCAATTCGCAGGGGGATGCCATTATCGATCGCAAAAGCAACAGCCTTGTTCAATCTCTGCAACGTTCTTTTGGAGTCTTGCAGGAACATCTCTTCAGTCACCTGAGCGAGCTGCGAGATCTCAAACAAGCAGTCCGCACGTGTATTCGCAAGCCAAGCTAGCTTCATGCGCATCGATCTAAACTGTGAATAGCTAGCCTCGAGCGGTAGTTGCTCCAGTTTCTGGAGGTATTCGTGTTGGTCTTGTACTACCTCGCCGTTCTCGTTCTTCGACAGCGAGAAACCAGTGAACGAACACGGCAAAGTTTGATCCTCCGACATTTCGAACCGAGCGTTCGTCTTTTGCGATAGCTGCTTGAAGTGCTTGTCGCCAGCGCGAATTAGATCATGTACATATCCACCGGATAGTCCTTTGAGCAGCCCATCTTCCATGAGCGTGTATAGGGCAGGATCGAAACGAAGAGGTTTCATTCCTAATTCTTCACGGTGGTGTTTAGCAAGGGTCTCATGCCATAAGTCTCCCGACTCGCACAAGCCGTAGAGGGGCTTGAGGAGCTTCAAGCACTGTGACGGATCCAAATCAAACTCCTGAACGGGCTTTCGGATGAAAATGTCTGTAGCCAATGGTTCAGCGGACTGAAGGTACGCCTTCCTCACATCTGAAGTCCAAATGTCGAAGTCAAAGACTGCTGCAAGAGCAAGAAGGAGTCTTATCGACTGCGGCTGCAGGGTGGAGGTAGAATGCACCATGAAGTCTTTGTACTTATCACGATGGCCACCGATGACATATCTGGCTTTGTACTTGATCTTTCCATCGTCTGTAGACTTGATGGCAAGTACGAAGCGACCATTGAGGATGTTTCCGTCCGGCGGAAGTTCCTCCTTGAGTATCACTTTGAATGTACCACGCTCAAGCAGGTTCTTGATTTCAGCCTTCTTGGCGGCGGTCATCTCGGGAGAAGACGCTCTCGGATCACCACGGGTGATTATTTCCGTCAGGAGAACATCAGTAGTAGTCTCAGCCTCAACAGATGTCGTTCCAAACTTGCTTAGCGCTCC